TTTTTTTTTTTTTTTGGTTGGCGGTACCACCAACTTTATTTAAAAAAACCGCACTTGTGGTGGAAGAAAATCGTAGTTATAGACTTGATAACCAAAACAACAAAATAAGCAATCTGACGAAAACTCAATAAATAAGCCTACCAGAAATCCAAACTAAACATCTAAACAAGCCTATCAGAAAACCAATCAAAACGTCTAACCTCGCCTATCAACACCACAACAATTTGAGTAATGTTATTCATCCACAGTGGGGTTACAAACACAATTTAGGTGGTTCTAAATGATAGGTTAAATAAAATGTGAAATTAAATAAGTTTCACCTATCATTTAATGTCACATTAACGGACACCTAGACTGTGTTTGTAATCTCAATGAGGATGAATAACATTACTCCAACAATTTATATACGTAAATAAGAGACTCCAAGTCCAAGACGATCCAATCGAACAAGGCCACATGTGAATGACGGTAACTCCTGGCGAGATAAAAACCTTCGTGTCAACCCTTCAACACCTAGCTTTGCCAACGAATCAGCCATCTGATTTCCTTCCCTAAACTGATGAGCAATACATACCTCAACGAATGGGTTTTATTAACTATAAAAATACACAAGTTGTTTGTGCGAGATAAATTATTCAACTACATATTTAGAAACTTATGCTTTGAAAACATGTGTTCGTGTCTCGTATAATATATTAGTATATATTAAATATGAATTAAATAGAGAGAGATCCAAAAAATAAATGTCAATTTTTTTATTCAGTCGTTTTTAAATGATGAAGAGTTTAGATAATGGAGTACAATGTACAATAACTTAAGAATAAAAGAAAAATATAACGTAAAAGATGCAAGAGAATCTCAATTGGAAAACAAATTGACCAAAAAATATGGTTCATCAATCACATCTATTAACATCCGACGACAATTTAATTAAATTGGTTTATTATATGCACTTGGAGTCTTGGATCATGATCCATTAAGGTCGGCTTACAGGTCAATTTGGAAGTATGATTGCCGTGGTTTGAAAGGACATAATAATTGTAGAATCTTTACATATTGACATAATCTTCAATTAATTAATGACATTCACAGAGAATTGCGTCAGTGCCCATCAAATCCACCAATCGTATGTTGTAGCTTTATTTCTAATCAATTCATTAATTAATGTGGGGATATGCCATTAGCATACTTTCTCAATTCGGTATTTTATGTTGATTTGACAAACAATTAATCAAGGTTAAAAGCCATTGGCACAAATTACCAGCTTGGTACTGTTGATTGACAAAACAGAAATGTGAAAGATATTCGATCTTCTTTTCCTAGAAAAAGGAGTATGATATGGTTTCTTTAGAAAAGGAAGGAGGACACCTTCATATTTCAAATATCTCCTTTGATGAAAACTCTTGTAATTTATAAGTGATAATCAACAAAAATCATTATTGACTTTCAAAGTTGACTTGAATTGATCAATACAATTTTCAATGTCAACAACATCATAATCAAAAGTTATTATCATTGCTTACACTTTCATCTAATTAATACGATCTAATAAAATAAATTGCCATTCAATTTCTTCCTCTCGATTTTTTACATCAGTTGTCAATTATTTATTGTCTATTTTTTGTTTGGTCTTATTCTTTTCCATATAAAAGTCTAAAGAATTTAAAAAACTAATATAATTTCGTATGTTTGCCTAGACAAACTCAAAAAGAAAAAGAAAATAATTTAGACTAAATTTCATATTATGAAGATTTACCTAAATTTAAGTGTATGTGTTTTATTGTTAATTATTTGATCTAAACATGTTTCTACTGTGTATTATGTTGATAATTGAGACAAATTCCTTTTATTTGCCCACATAATTTTTAACAAACTTAATTGACATTAGGATGTAAATTTTACTCAATTGCTTTCATCATTGTCCTTTTCATAAGGAGGGCTAAATTGTTCGACTTCGAGCAGTTAATCGAGCTTGCTCCACCTTTTGATTTTGCTCGAGAAAGAGTTTCTATTAAATTTAAGAAGTTCGATGTAATATACATGCTAGCCCTTGTTTGGTACCCATTATATCAAAAATACATTTTTCTCTCTTATTTTCAACCACGTATTTTTAAATAAAATAATATTACACACGAACCCAAAAAAATTTCTTATTTTTTAACCACGCATTCTCCATCGAACAGTTGCTATTTTTTCCCCAAGACTTATATAGAGGAAATTAATAATTAATACAATCTATGACAACTCCGACATCCCTCCTTTGTTCTGATTATTTTGTTTCCTTAGTTGAAGATTTCACGGTTTTCCTTTTGTTTCCTTATAGTGACATCTTCCTTCAGTCTTTAATTTTTCAGATTTGGCTCTCCCTTTTCCTTTTTCAAACTGATCAAAACCGTTGACCTATTTCTATTATTTAATTAATATATTCAAAGTGAATTAAAAACTTAAACCTAATTTGAAATCGAATATCTAATGTAACCCATAAGGATCTTTACTCTTACTTCTCCGATTAAAAAAAAAGAAAAAGAATGAATGAATAACCGAACTCGATAACATGTGTAAAATCAAGAACAAAAATTATGCATTGGTGTAATCGTCAAGAAAAATGCAATCTAACGTTAACGATATCAAAAGAAAATTATTTCTTTATTAACAAAATAAAAAGGAAATACAAGATAATCCCAAAACAATTCATCTTGATGACAATGAGAAAATTGTACATCAAGAACACCTTATGAAGAAATTAAGGAAAAAAATGAGAAAACAAATCATGTTACGCTACTTTTATATAACATTAGGCAGTAAATAACAAAATTTTAAGGCAGTCTTTCATGTGAAAGATACCAATTAAACTTGAGTAATGTTATTCTTATCGAAAACTATCGATAGTCAACGACATATGTATGTCACGTAGGACGACTATTGGTAGTTTTCATTGTGAATATCATTATTCATTAAACATCATTTACCAGACCCAAAACAGATAACCTTATTGGCTGCGCAATCATCTCAAAACGGCAAATAGGACAATTGTCACTTCTGCTTAGCCATTCGAAAATGCAATTGCTGTGAAAAACATGAGAACACGCCAGAGTTGAGACCAACAACCCTGCTGGAATCTCGTCTAAGCAAACCGCACAAATCTCGACCTCGTCATTGTCATTCTTGTACTCCATTATATTCTCAGACGGCCATATGATTGTATCCATACTCGCAGGATCAAATTCCATCAACTGTAATGAGCTTTCATCTCCATCATGACAATTAAACTGTTTTAAATGAACCTCTAAGATCATCTCCCGGAACGTGATGTCTCTGCTTCTTGCATAGTAAATTAATTCATCAACGATTTGTTCTTTCAAGTTCTGATTTCTTATGCTATAACTTGCGAGTTCTGACAGCAGAAGAAGTTTTAACTCATCATCGGCTGCCCCAAAATCCACATGAATGAGTCTTGTTTTTATCGACAATAGTTCTAGTCCTTGAGCTCCCACATAAAGATTGCCTTGATGATTTACCAAGCCTTTCATGATTTGAAAATTGAATCCCACTTCAGTATTCATTGTTGATGAGGAGTCATTACCAACGTCTGGTTCTGAAAAACCCAGTTCACGTACGGATGCCCACCAATAGGTGGAGTCCATGTTCAAGATTCAGTAAAAGGCTTAAAGCGCAGCAGAGAAAGAGAGATTATTTATGGGAAAACCAATGAATATTGCTTGCGGATGTAATGATAGAGAAAATTATCTTCTGGGAAGTACAGATTCCTTCTGAATGTAAAATATGGAAACATTATCATAACGGATTAAATTTATTTGTATATTTGGAAACAACAAAACAAATAACGGATATAAGCTTAATATTTTGAGATAAAATAATTTTAAAAGCTATTTTGAAAATAGTACTCAAAATGCGGTTTTTATTAAATACATTAAAGTGAGAAAATTTTTCCATCTAAAAACTTGCAGCTTCAAAACATAGTGGCATGTTTGGCATAGCATTGGACGTAGTGAGCTTCGTGGTGAAGGAATTTTTTTCCGCAGGACGAAAATTAAGTAATAAATTTTAAACAATAAAACACTAATGAAACTATTTTGATACAATACTACAATTGTTCCATACGCATCATGAGCAATACTTCAACCTCTATATGTTACATTATTTTAGTCATTATTAAACGTTGTGAGATTTTACTCCTGACGAGGTGTCGCGTGACATATGATAATTGCATTTTTTGCAATTATTCGGACTTTTATTTTTATTTAATTGTATATAATTGGAGTGATTATCTACTTAATTTGTGTAAATTATATAAAAATTTCAACTTGGATTTAATTGGTGTGAAAAAATGTTATTTGGAGCTTAATTGAAGTTGATTCAGAGCAATTAAAATCAACCGAACTGAAAGTGATCTTGGAAGTATTAATGGAGTATTCAATAAAAATTCATAAGTTTCGAGAGTTAAATCCGATATTTAAAAGGTTTGAAAATTAAACTGCAAACTTTTAAAACTTGCATCGGGTCAATTATTAAAGATTTTTGAATGAAGTAGATTTAATTAAAAACATTAGAAGATGAAGGACTAAAGTTTCATGAAAAAAGAAGTCCAATTGAAAAAGGATTTTGCATAAATTTTATTCTATAAATACATATCTTAGTACAACAATTCAAATGAGGCTTGTAGGGTTTCATTATACACATATATTCATTAAGTCAAGACTTATGGGGATTTGTTGTACACATATTATACAAGTCCAAAAGGAGAAAAGAATCAAAAAATAAAACATAAACACTAGGGTTTCAAGGTTTTACAAAAATAAGGTGGAATCTTGGTGCAAGATCTTCATATTTTTCTCTTTTTTTTTCCTTAAAACTCAGCGATGTGCTTTAATTAGCAATGATTATAATTTACTTTTTGAACCTTAATTTTAATTAAAAAGTTTTTAAATCCTCAATTGATGTTATGAATTATTTGACTTTTATTTTTAATACTTTGAATTAATTGGTCACTAATTCTTTGATTTGTGAGCAATAATTACGTTAAGAGGCAAATTATTTGTTTAGATCACGTAGTAAAAGTCGGTAATTAGTATAAAAGTGTAGATACATTTTCTAGTTGTGTTGTCATTACATGGATTCTTGGAGCTTTAAGGCATTTAATTAAGGTTTGTCCTTATTCACTTAGAAATATATAATTGACTTAGTTAAATAGAATCAATTTGAACACGAACCAAGAATTGTAATTACGAAGGAGAAGGAATAGACGAAAGGAACCGTATCTATCACAATTCAAAGAAAAAAAAGGAGGTGCTATCTAAAATTCAATAATAAGGTAATATCATAACAAGACTAAGTCCATGTTTGATAGAAATTAAAATTAGATTTTTAACAAATTTTGAGAACGGTTGATAGAATATTGTGTTGTTGAAAAGTTGTGAATCTTTTTAAACTTGGGATTAAAATTAATTATTGATTTTAATTTTAATTTTAATTTTAGTAAAAAATTATGCATCTCCTACGTAATGAAGGTCTCGATTACATGGAAATAAAACTTGGAGCTCCTACCCTAACTGTAGTAAAATTGGCTGGGATCAGCTTCCTAATTTTATGTTCATGTCTCAAATCCCATGTTGCTAATATCTTTCGCGGGTTCTTTCCATTGGATTCTTTGCTGCAGGAAAATCTGCAAGTGGTTCAAATTAATAAGAAAGACAAATTACAAAGAATGAGAGATCTCATAATTTATTAGCTAATTTTATGTTTATGTTGAAGTCAATGTTCACACATCATCATTATATTCTATTCTCACATACTTTATTAACCACTCATTATTTTATGTTTCTGGATAATTTCTCACAGCAATTGAGAAGCCTTCCTTCTTGAGCATAGGAGAGGAGAGGAGAGAACTGATATGGCTTATGCTGCTCTTCTTTCTCTTAGTCGCATTCTTCAGAATAGGCTGCATCATGATAATCAATTTCTGATTCATGATGAGAAAACAAAAATCTCATTTCTCCTAGAAAATGTGCGTTTCTTACTAGATTTTCTTGATAATTCATCACAAAGAAGCAGCAAAGCAATCGAAAGTTTAGAGAATCGAATCACTGATGCAGCATATAAAGCAGAGGATATCACTGAATCCTGCATCAGTCGTCGAGTTGTTGAACAATCTAAGCATCAGAAGGAGAAGATTTTCTTTAGTCTGAGCAGACTTAAAACAACCTTACGCAGTATATTCCAGGATGAACTAGAGAAAGTAATTAAAGAAATTGATACCATCAAGAAAATGGTAGACAATATCAAGGCCGAGGTGATTGTACAAGATCTGCATCCAACGACTTGTTCACCTGTTGCTTCATCAAAACCTGCTTCCAGTGGTAAGAATAATATGATGGGTCTTGATGATAACGTGATGGTGATCAAGGATCGGCTCACCGGGGGATCGTCAAATCTTGGAACTGTTTCCATCATGGGGATGGGCGGAATAGGTAAAACTACTCTTGCCAAAAAAGTTTATGGCGATGAATATATTTTGTATCAATTTCACATTCGTGCTTGGGTGACAGTCTCTCAAGACTATAATATGCGAGAAATTTTTTTAGGCCTTCTAGATTCCATGGAAATGCTCACTAAACAGGATCATGAAAAAAGCACTGAAGAATTAGAAGAACTCTTGCAGGGACGGACCCAGCCTCGAAGTTGAGCTCGGGCGGACGTTGACTGGTCAACGCCGAAGTTCAGCAAGAGTGCAACACATAAATTGGTAATGCTTAGCAATGTTTTAATTCAAGCATGAAGCAACACATTAGTACTTCGCTATTCCACCCGGTTTAAGCCCTGCTGAGCTTTTGGACTCTCTTGTTCTCTTATCTGCTTCAAACGTAAGGTTTTTTTATTATTTATTACACTTTTTTGAGACATATTTTGCATCATTTAAAGCTAAATTTTACGTTTTTGTTGATAAAATATGCAGATTTTACCATCTCCAACAACAGGGACTTTTCCATTTCAATCTTTTAATTGGAAAAGTAATTCAACCACCACCCAACAGCAGCAGGGTGTCAAAAACTACTCAGAATTTCTTTTCGAACCCAAACAAACCCAGATTACACATACATTAACAGATCAACCACTAATCTTTTTTCAATTATCCCTAATTTCCTAAAAACCTAAATTCTCAAATCACAATTCACAAATTTGGATTAGATTTTGTGGCTAATGAACCCATAAATCTATGAACTTACTTAATGTAGTTTTAATGTATTTTAGGTAGCATAGAATTAGTCTTTTGCCTGTTGGACGATCCTTAAACCTCAAATAGTTATAGCATATAGATTAATATAAATGGAGGCTGAAATCGACCATACTTTTGGCCAATTGTTAAGTAAGTTTCTTCAGCTGGCTTCGCTAATTGCAAGAGTGTGCCCCCAGCGTCTAATAGCAGGTCCACACCTCCGCAGCTTTCACTTTTCTTCTCTTCTGGCCGTTCGTCTTCTCCCTCCCGTTTTCATTAAAAGTAGGTGTGGCATAATTTTCACTTTTCATTTTGGAATTGAATTA